AAGATGACGCCCTTCCACCTCCACTTCAATGACGTATGGTCGATCCCGAGATTGATAGTGGATTGGTATTCGACATCTACGACGACATCCACATCACCCGTTCACCGTTCTTCGACGTCGGGTTTGACTCCGACGACACTGTTGAAGATTATTTGAATCGTATCCTTCCCACTCTCATGGATGTCATAGACGATCAATTCCAGGACTACGATTGGACAATCATCGACCGCCATCCACCACCACCTCCACCGGCGGCTACCTCTCTGGTAACGAAGACCTTCGTCTCCTTCTTCGTAGTGGTGCTCTCCGTCCTTGTATGGTTCTTTCTCCGTCGTTAAAGCCAAGAGTGAACGAGTGAGAAGGTGCTCGAGGTGAATTTTCTCATTATTAAGCATAGGATTTTGTTATAAGAATTAAGTATTCCTTTTATCATTGGGTTTTGTTTGAATTGCTTGGTTAATTTCAAAGCACATCTTCGCCTAAGCAAATCGACTACTTAGAATTTTTAATCCTTTACTTTATTAGTGATAACTTTGTGGTGGTAACGCTTTATTTAATTACCGTCTTAATTTCAGCAAGCAACTCCTACACGATTCACATCAGATTTGGTTTATTTTGATTGGCCGAAATGTTGGCTTATTTAATTGATCAATTAAATGCCCCCTTTCCCTCCTATATAAAGTGATTGAAATTCTCGCTCAATCAATGGATCCTAAGATTAACCTCATAACTCATGCATATTTATTTCACTATTGATCCAATTTCGATTGTTCAAGTGTGGGATCACTTCCATCAATGTGTCACCATAACTCTTTCTCATAACAAATAGCTAAAACTGAAAATCCTAGGTAATGCAAATTTTAGATTTGACTCATATACCAAGAACAAGCCAGTTGACATGATTCGACGCAATCAACATAATGTCCAATTTATGATTTTCATGGGTTGACATATGACAAAGACGACAAAATCCTTGTGAATCTTCATTGAGTTCACCAAGGTTTTTTAGGTCTTTGTTGAGAAAACAAAGACGAGTGATCGCTTTGAAAACAAACCTAAATTTCTCATGCTCCTCTAGTTGGTTCTACTCATTATACAGAGAACATAAATCATTTAAAAATAATTGTCTAATAATTAGCTCAATCATGTCTTAGAGAGGGAAATAATTAACTATATCTTTAAAAGCTTGTTGGGAAAGTAAAACCACACAACAAAACAAATAAGTAAAAACATGCAACGGAAAGAAAGAACAATATGATTTAATGTGGAAAAACCTATAACAACAACAACATTGCCTTTAACCCACTACGTGGGGTTGGCTACATGAATCCTCTTTCTTCATTGTGTTATGTTAAGAGTCAAATTCTCATTTAAATCTAATAAAAAAAATCATTTCTAATATTTTCTAACAAAGTATTTTTAGGTTTACCTCTATATCTCTTAACATAGGTCAAATCTATCTCCTAACCAGGTCATAAAAAAGCTAACGTTTTATATGACCAAACCATCTAATGCGGCTCTCTTTAATCTTATATACCACTGGAGCTACTCTAACCTTTTCACGTATATGGTCGTTTCACATTCTATCTCTAAGAGTAAAGCCACTCATTTACTCGAGCATCCTCATCTCTGCAACACTTAATTATATGCTTCTCTTTTAATGGCCAACATTCTATGCCATAAAGCATTGCAGGTCTCACCACCAGCTAATAAAATTTTCCCTCGAGTTTGAGGGGCACTTTTCTATCACACAATAGGCCCGATGCATTCCTCCACTTTAACCATCCAACTTGAATTCTATTAATATTATCCCCATCTATTTCAACAACACTCTGGAAAATAGACCTAAGATATCTAAAACATATACTCTTATTGACCTCCATTATTCAAGTTTAACTTAACTCCCTCTCTATTCTTATCAACAAGAAGAATATCATCAGCAAAAAACATACACTATGGTACATTATCCTACAAATATTTAGTAAGAACATCCATGACTAAAGCAAAAAGATATGGGCTTAAAGCTGATCCTTGATGTAATCCAACTAAAATAAGAAAATACTTGGTCCAACCTCTTTGAGTCTGAACACAAGTAATAATTCTTGCAAGTATAAGCATTATTAACCCATTTCTTTTCGAAAACTCTCCATAGCGCTTCTCTTGGAACTTTATAATAAACTTACTCTAAACCAATAAATATCATATGTATATCCTCCTTATTCTCCCTATACTTCTCCATCAAACCTCTCAATAAATGTATAGCTTTTTATAGTAGACCTATTCGACATGAATCTAAATTAATTTTGAGAAACATTAGTATCACATAGCAGACCCACTTATGCTCAAAAACTTTCTCCCAAAGTTTTAAAGTATGACATATTAACTTAATTCTTCTATAATTCGCACATTCTTGTGCATCACTTTTATTCTTAAAAATAAAAATCAACGCACTCCACTTATCTGACATCCTTTTAGTCTTGAAAAGTTTCGTAAGCTAAAAAATTACTTCATCTCCTAAGCATTCCACAACTCTAATGGAATATCATCAGGTCCAACAACTTTGTCAAGCTTTATTTTCTTTAAAGCCTCTCTAACTTTGATTTTACTAATATGTCGATAAAAATAAAAAACTCGATTTTCATTTAGGATGCTAAGCTCACTAAAGTCGTCAATCATATTCTCACAATCTTTAAAGAAAAGCTTATCAAAATATCTGATACTCCTTTTTTGAATATCCTCTTCTAATAAAAATATTTTTTTATCCTCATCCTTAATGTGCTTAATTAAATCCTTCTCATATCTCTTTTCTTGCCTAACTTATACATACATCTTTCGCCCTCCTTAATATCTAATATATTATATAAATCATTAAAAACTAAATTATTTGCATCACATATTGATTTTCTTAGACTTCTTACGGGCCTCTTTATACCTTTCCTAATTTTTTTTGAGTTTTTACAACTAAACCAATTTTTATAACAAAAATTATTAATTTTTATCTTTTTTTGCACATGAGGAACTTTTTTTTATACTCCAATCACATTTTTTGTAACATTCTTAATATCATTAACTACTTTTTCTCACATAGCATTAGCTTCTTCATGTATAATCATAATCTTAAAATCTTTAATCTAACTCTTGCCCCCATCTAATCCTCAGACAATATTTTATTTTATTTTTCATATTTCTCCCCTTCGTCATAAAGTCTAAAACTAACAAGCGATGCTGAGTACATAAAGTTTCACTCGAAATAACTTTACCATCTTTGCAATGTAAATGATTATTTTTATTATAAGAAAATAATCAATCTAAGTTGTACTATATCAATTCTTATAAGTGATGAGATGTTCATCTCTTTTCTTACATAAGATGTTAACAATTATAAAATCATAAGCTACAAGAAAATGTAATATAATCCTACCACATTCATTAGTCGCTCCAAACACATAACCACCATGAATGCTTTTAAATCTTTTACCTATCTACCAAAATGTCCATTTAAATCTCCTCAAATAAAACACTTTCTTCAAAAGCCATCTTTTGTATTAATTCTTCCAAGTAATTTCAAAATTTTAATTTTAAACACATCCAAATCTACTTGAAGAACATAAGAACTTATAACATATTTAACAATATTTAAAGCTATAATTATATCTCCAACTCTATTAATTTCTATCATTTTCTTCTTCAAACCCTTATCTATAATCACACATATCCCATTCCCATTTCTAGTATGACTCCTATCTAAATACCATAGTTTAAAACCTAAAGTACCAATCTCCTTAATCTTCTCTTTAACTCATTTAATTTCATGAGTGCAAATGATATTTATCTTCCCATGAATCATGATATCTATTAATTCTATTAATTTGTTTGTAAGAAAACTTATATTTCAAGTTGTATCCTAATTCTACTTTCATGGACTAAATTCTTTGACCACATCCATCCGTGATATGGGAACCCATGCTTATTTATCATTGTGCCCGGGCGTCAATGCTTATTCAGGCCATATAGCGCTTCACTTCTAGGAAACCCTAACATTAACACAATGTATTAAAGGATTAACGTCATGATTATTCGACAAATTTTATACTGGTTGTTGACTACCTAACATAACCCTCCACTTTTCTCATCCATAACTCGGGACCTAACAATGACAATGTTTAAACATGGAAAAACTTGAAACCGAAAATATATATATATATATATATATCGAAAAAAAAAAAATATATATATATATATATGGAAACACACAACACCAGAAAATTCATTCTGAAAATACAGTAGAAATAATACATATATCTCTTATCTCTCACTCTCTCCTTATCTGGCTTCACACTTGCACCATTCGAATACTAGAATTAGCAAATAGAAACACAAAAAAACCAAGAGATGCAACCCTTCATGAAAAATGAGTCTGGAGTGCCACAATGCTTTGCTCTGTCTCTCGCTTGAGTCGTAGCACTGCGGCGCTCTGCTCTCTGTTTGCCTCTAACTAGACAATGCAATGTTGCATCGCTCGAGTACATAGCACCGCAACGCTGTACGATTGTAAGGAAAAAAATTGTGTGCAAAACACTCAAAACCAAGCTGGAGGAGCTCGACCGATGAAACTGAGGTACGAGGCAACAATACAACCCATTGATCAACACAATCAAATTACACAACTTACAAAGCTTAGCATTCGCATTTATGATAACTATTTGTACATATCTCTAACCATAATTTACATGTAGCGATTGATGCAGTAATTGAGTGATTGATATGGCAAATGATTGGATCAAAGTTTATATTACATTCCTATCCGAGGCCACAATCACTGATGCAATTAAGGTGTAATCACAATTTAGTAACAAATATGTAATTAGATTTGTACTGTCAAAATAGGTAAAAACATATTTGACTGTGACAATATACAAGTCATTAAAAATTGTGAAGCCTAATTTAAGAGGGGAGTCAAAAAGACAATCTTGACAAAATTATACAGATGACAAATATACCTGGGTGCATCCAAATAGTTTTAGAATTTTTAAGTTCAAGCAACTGTCAACAATCAATCCAAGAGCCTCATCAGACATCTTGCGGCAGAAAGAAAGATCCAGGCTTCTCAACGATAGAGAACACCTGCGAGAAATAGCTAGAGCAGTGTTTCCTGCAAGCTGCACAGCAGGAGTAATCATTGTCAAATCGAAATCAACCTTCAGTTAGAAAAATTCGAAAATAAATTCCAACGAGTAGATGCCATATCCAAGAAGAATTGGAATTATTTTAAAAAAGGACGATAAAGCAAAAAAACATAATTAATAGCAGCTAATCTTCTCCAAGGTGGCACAAGCCATCCAGTTTGTACAAGCAATAACAGCAACACGTAACAAGTATGGCCTCCCCAAAAACCATTTTATGTGGGTTAGAGAACTTCACCAACCCATATTATGTTCAATGACGCATTGCCATGCCTGGCTCGCAGAAGCAATCCTGAAAACTTAGGATGCGTATGTGGAATGAAGTTGCCTAGCAAGGGTTCAAATATCAAGAATCCATACACCAAATATATAGAAATAATCAGGAGGGTTTTGCAGATACGTATAAGCTTGTTTTAAATATTTTCAATCAATGTTGTACATAAGTGGCTGAAAAAACTCTCTTCTGGAGAGCCTTAAATTCACAAAAGCCACCGCCCGAGTCCATAGAACTCCAAACCTCCATCACCAAAGGAGAAAACCACAATTAACCAGCTATCCAAACTCTGCACTTCAAATTATGTTGCACCCATATAATTCTAGCAATACCTTGTCTCCAAATTAGAACAACCATCAAAATAAACACAAACTACAATATGATTTAAACTATGTCAAATCATTTAAACTAGCCTAGAGCAAGGAAATAAAATGCATCCTTTTTTTCGGTCATCATCATTGCTATGCATTAGAATCCTGTAGTTCAGTGCAAATAAGATCCAACATCTATAGTGCATGATCCGTGGGACGCATGACTCACGCCAAAACTCTTTTCATATTCGGGTAGCTGATTTAGGAAAGATTCTATTAGAGTTATGTAATTATTTGCTTATGTATTAAGATTTCATGTATAGATCTATAAATAGGGAAAAAATCATGGAATAACGCAAGCCTTTTTGTTTCAAACCTCTTGTTTTCTAACATGGTATCAGAGCCAAAGATCTAGTGCCGCATCAGAGAGAATGGGGATGGCCTTCATTGTTGAAGATCTAGTGCTCACGATCCTCCGCGTGAACGCAAGCAACAGACAGAGCCTCCGCCGCCGCTGCCCTCACGCCGCCGTCGGAAGACCTACGGTACGAAGACAGGAGCAACTCGTGTGTGGAATAAGGCTAGTATGGCGTGCCCTAGTTGTTGCTCTGTTAAACCAAGAAGAAGTCTAGGACCAGTTTATTAAGCCGAGAAGAAGGTCGGTAGCCAAGTCTTTTTATAGACTCGGTTCGGTTTGGTTTATTGAACCGATAAGTTTTGAAGAAAAAAAAGAGGAAAAAAGGAGGAAAAAATGTCTGCCTTTATTGCCAAAGACTAAAGATCAGAGTGAATTTTTCTTTTTCAGGAAACCTTCATTGCTACCTAGGATCGTACAAATAGTTTTCATTACAATCATTCGACACAAAATGTCAGAAATTAATTCCTCCCAGAGCATTGACCAAATTGAGGAGTCGATGATGCACCAAGGACGAGGTGACCTCCAAAGCATGCAACCTTCCTATTGCATAAATGGAAAGAAGTACTTGAAGTGATTTCAATTTGTGAAAACTTACTTAAAAGGGAAAGTAAAAATACACCACCTACTCGGAGGAGGACCAAAAGAAGGAGATCCTAATTTTTGGGCATTGAATGAAGCGGACTCCATGATTATGCCATGGTTGTGGAACTTCATGACTCTAGAAATTAACAATACATTTATGTTCCTTTCCACTGCAAAGGACATTTGGGATGCTGCCAGACAAACATATTCAAAAGCTCAGGATGCTGCTCAAATCTTTGAAATCAAAATCAAAGTAGGGAGAACAAAACAAGGAAGCAAGACTATGATAGAGTATGCCACTCTCCTACAAAACCTATGGCAAGAACTAGATCACTACAGATGCATTGAGACTAAATGTCCAGAAGATACTACTACCCTAAAGAACTTTATTGAAAAGATAGAGTTTCTGATTTTCTTGCAGGACTAAATGTCAAATTCGATCAAGTAAGAGTCCAGATCCTTGGCAAAGAAGAGACAATATCACTAAATAAAACAATAGCTATCATCCGCGTTGAAGAAAGACGACAAGGTGTAATGTTGGAGCCAAAATCTATTGAAGGCTCAGCAATGGTAACTAAAGAAGCTCTATGGAAGGAAAAAAGTAATGACTCTGCAAAATTCAAAGATAAAGACTCTATTTGGTGTAGTTATTGCAAAAAGTCAATACACACAAAAGAAACATGCTGAAAAATATATGGAAAACCCCACAGTAAGGAGTGGAATCAAAGAAGAGAAACAAGGAGCACATTGTATGCAAACAATACAACAAGTCAGCCCAACCCAGAAGCATAGTACATCCTCGGAGAACTCAATAAAGAAGATGTTGATAAAATGAAATGACTCCTATTATATCTTAAAAAACCACCTGCATCTTCCTCTCTTGCACTTTCAGATAAGCTTCCTATTTCCTTTAGTTTAACTGCCTCTAGAAATCATTTAAAAGGATTATGGATCATTAACTCAGGAGCCACAGATCACATGACCCATACCCCTACCCACTTCATCAACTATACCCTTTGCCCAAGTGACAAGAAAATCATCACTAAAGATGGTTCTCTCACCATAGTAGCAGGCCAGGAAGACATACCTTTATCACCCACCCTAACTCTAAAGAATATGCTTTATGTACCTCAATTATCCACAAACCTAATATCCATACATAAACTTACCAAAGACTATAATTGTCCAGCACCATTCAACCCTGTTTATTGCCTATTTCAGGACCAAAGATCATCGAAGAAGATTAGACTTGTTAAAGAGAAAGATGGACTGTATTACCTGGAAGAACTGAACAAATCTAGAAATAGCTACTCCATGTTATCCCTCGTTGATTGAAATCTACTATCTGGCTTCATCATTATAGATTAGGGCATCTGTCTTTTTATATCTTAAAATATGTATATCCAAAACTTTTTCAAAAATTGAAAAATGAACTTTTTAACTGTAAAACTTGTGAGTTAGCCAAGCATAAAAAATTTTTTCCAAAAAAAAAGAGATGTGATACCACTTTCAATCTTATTCATAGTGATATATGAAGAACCTAAAAATCTCCAACATCTCTTGGGCAAGCTAGTTTGTATCGTTCATTAATTATTGTACGAGTCTCTTTGATCTACCTCCTCAAAAATAAATCTAACGTTAACACCATTCTTCTCATATTTCACACCATTATCTAGAATCAATTTGGGGTAAAAATAAGAATATTTAGCTCTGATAATGCTAAAGACTATTTCAACCAAACCCTATCCTCCTATCTCCAAAAAGAAGGTATCATCAATGAGTCCTGTGTTCATACCCCACAACAAAATGGGGTTGCACAAAGGAAAAATTGTCACCTTCTAGCCTCCACTTGTGCTTTTCTATTCCACTACAATATACTCAAATCCTATTGAGGGAAACCCTCCTAACCGTCACCTACCTTCAACAACCTGGGACTAAAGACTCCAATGGAGATCATGTCCACCTTTTACTCCGAGTTCCGCACCATAATAACCTTACACCCAGAATTTTTGGATGTACTACCTATGTTCATATTCATAACCAAAATAAGATAAAATTAGATCCAAGAGCACTCAAATGCATCTTTGTTGGATATTCCACCACCCAAAAAGGCCACAAGTTTTATCATCCTCCCACAAAAATAGCCCTTGTCTTTGTTGTTGTTACATTTAATGAACAAAATTCCTATTTCACCTAACCTCATCTTCAAGGGAAGACTGAAATTAAGGAATATACGGGATTGAGCTTGCCCCTCTTGACCTTCCCCCACCATCTCAAATCACTCCTAAAGTCAAAAGAAGGGAGACGTACAAATCCAAACTACACTCTGAACCATCTCCAAGAATCTGAACCATCTCCTGAAATTATGGTAAATTCACCACCTCCCATATACCCCATAACTAACTTTAATAATTTCTCATCCTCACACAAAAACTTCTTGGTTACATTAGAAGAAATTCATATTCCTAATAATATTTCTGAGGCCTTATCTAATGAAAAATAGAAAAAAGCCATGAAAGATGAAATGCAACCTCTAGAAAAGAATAAAACTTAGAAAATCAACTTACTAAAAGGAAAAAAAAAATCAGTTGGCTACAAATGGATATTCTATGTAAAATATTAATCTGATGGGAAACTGGAAAGGTACAAAGTAAGATTAGTGGCCAAATGTTACATGCAAACATATGTCATTGACTACCTGGAAACCTTTGCACATGTAGCCAAGATGAACACCGTCAGGATCTTACTCTCACTAGCAACTAAATACAACTGTCATCTGGAACAATTAGATCTAAAAAATGCATTCCTACATGGGGACTTGGAGAAAGAGATATTTATGGAAATAACACCAGGATTCAAAGAAAAATCTGAAGGTACCAAGGTATGCAAGTTGAAAAAAGTCCTATATGGATTAAAACAGTCACCTAGAGCCCGATTTGGAAGATTCTCCAAATTCATGCTTACTAATGGATACCAACAGAGTCAAGGAAACCATACACTATTCTTTAAACACTCAGACTCAGGAGGAGTCACAATATTATTAGTATACGAGAATGATATTATCTTGACTAGAAATAATGAAAAGGAGAAAAATAGTCTAAGAAAAAGGCTTACCAAGGAATTTGACATCAAAGAACTTGATAGACTAAAATACTTTCTTGGAATCGAAGTAGCTCACTCCAACAAAAGAATCTTCATCTTACAACAAAAGTACATTAAAGATCTTCTAAAAGAAACATTAAAACTAGCCTGTAAGCCAGCACCAACACTAGTAGAACAAAACCTCAAATCGGGAAAAGCGAAAGAAGATCCAAATGTAGATAAAGGAGCCTACCAAAAACTTGTAGGGAACTTGATCTACCTTTCACACACCAGCCAGATATATCATTTG